AAAAAATATATACTAAATGCAAAGAAACACAACACAAAATATGTATTTATCTATAATATTATTGATTTCTCAAACTAACAGCGTGTTGCTAGAAATGCATAATGAATATTTAATAAATACAAAAGCCGAAGCGCGAACAACAACATTAGCAAATAAAAGTAAAATATAAAATTAGTAAAAAAAAAAACAAAGAGTAAATAAAAGGCCTGCAACAATAGTTAAAAATTAAAATTATTTAATTAACTCAATTGAAATGGAAATATTTGAAAAAAAACCTTATATTTCTAGTGTTTTAAGGAAATTGCTACTTAAATCAGAAAAGAAGTAAAAGAAAAAACACAAAACTAAATGAAGAAAAAATGGTCTTCATTTCATTGAAAAAGCAAATATATATTTAAAATACTAAAAAATAATACGGTTGGAGAATTTTATTTATGTCTAAACAAAATGCTGCATAATCAGCCAGATTTTTATTAAAAAAAAAAGGAAAAAAAACTGAATAATCGAAGCAATAATACCCTTCACAAATACAAAAGGTTGCTTATAAGAGCTTGATCACGTTCGATTCAGTTGTATGGCAGCTATAAGCTATTACTTCTATGAACAATAATTCGTACCAAATTTCTTGCAGATATCTCGTCAAATGAAAAAGTTTTCCCTGTAAGCGCTTGATACCGATCGTTCACTTTGTGTGACAGCCATATCTTACAGTGGTCTGATAACGGCGGTGTCGATAAATGAGCATTTTATGGGGGAGGAAAGGACGTGAGCAGAATTTCAGATCGATAACTCAAAAACTGAGGAACAGGTTCGCGTATATATAAGGGCAGATAAATAGACATCTACATCAGCGACACCTAGCTAATGTTTTTGCAAAGGCAGCTCTTTGCTTATTGACAATAATATAAAAATAATAATAAAAAAGAGCCAAGTCAGCGAACCATGCTCTTGGTAAAAGCTTGACTGTAGCACCACCTGTCGGGCAAAATTTTTGCAGGAGTATTTATTACGGACCTCTGTATCTTAGCTTCTATTTCAAATTTAACTGTTCAGCCGTAAATGAGTGCCTTATGATACTTATTCTATTGAGTTCGGAACTTACCATGTAACCCCTGGGTTTACGGGTTTCAAAAAATCGAATTTTTTATTGTCTAATTAAATTCTACAATACATCTAGAATATTGTCCTACATTTTCAAGTGTAACAGCTTCTGATATAAACTTTGAGCTCGATGTACATATCTTTGTAACAATAAAAAATTCTAATAAAATATTTAATTTTTTATGCTTGTATGAGAAAAAGTTCTTGACAAAATATTGTTTTTTTTACCCGAGGGAACCCCTTAATATAAATCTCCAGTAGAAAAATCCAAAAGTCCACCATTTCAGGTGTCTTGATTAGGAGTTTGAGTTAAAAAATTTTCCTGCACGGACAGCTATTTTTTGTAATTTTAGTAAGTGGCGGTGGTTTGACCCCACACCCCTTGAGTAAACTAAAAAAATCCTACGAGTTAGGAAATTTTTATTATCATTTTCGATTGTAGCAATCCAACATTTGCAAAAAACAGCCCCTAACATCACTGTCGCAGATGATATATGACATAAAACTAGTGCAAGCCTTAGAGATAGTTTTGCTGTAAATTGATCGTCTAATATAGCTAAATATATACTCTGAAACTCGGGATAATAGAAAAAATATTCACTGAAAGTAACTTTATAAGAATGATGAATGAAACCAAAGGACAACCTTGAGGCAAAGAAGAATTGTGTTAATTTGACACACAAAATAAACTGAAAAACAACAGTGTATAAACCCTCCGGCTGAGTCGGGAGGAAAAGATCACAACTTCAGCTAATGGAGTCCTAAATGGTTTAAGGATAAAAATTGTAAATGAATGTATATGGGTG